TGCCTCTAAAACCAGCCGGTCTTGGGCTTCTTCTTTCTGGACTCCCGAGAGCTTTGTAACGGCGATTCAATCTTGTTCGGTGTATTTTTCCAGATTTTCAAGTTCAGTGGCCCGGAGTTCGTTCCAGGGTCTCAGGCTCAGGATTATGCACCCCCCGCCCCATCACTAAGCGAGGAGGCTGTCCAAGCCGCAGCTCTTGTCCCACAGCACTTTGTGCCCCAGGCTTGGGAATTACTTTTTACTTCCCAGGAGCCGGCTGGACGGTGGTTCAGAGTCAGCCCTGCAGTCAGACCGCCTGGGTCTCTCTCCTGATCCCAGCCTGAGACTCAGAACCTCGGTCTCCACCTCTGTAAAACACGCAGATCAAGAGCCCCCTCCCAGGACTGCCGAGGCTCACAGAGGGCGCTGTGAACTCCAGAGCCTGATCTCGGGGGAGTTCCCACCCACCAAACCTCTGCCTTCCTTCCAACTTTGGCTTCAGAAGCCCCAGGTCTGCAGCACGGGCACCTCAGCTCTCCCAGGGGCCAACCAGCATCCACAACCCTCTGCGCTTCCATCTTAACCACCCTGGAGCTCAGGGGTCTGGGACAGTGGCTCTAAAGTGGGTGGCACCTGAGAACTGGCTAGAAGTACAGATGCCCAGGCTGCCTGCCACAAGGCTGCCCTCACCCTCTCTGGGGGTCTGAGAGGCCCGAGGTCTCCAGAGTCGTGGGGCGTTTGCCCTGCTAGTGCTCAGTGCCGGGCGCTTGAAGACATGGCTCTGTATTGCTGTCGTCCTTGGAGACATGCTGCGAGTGGGCAGGGAGCGCTCCACAGTGAAGGCTGGGATCAATTAAAAACCCAATGGAGAGAACAAGTGCCGTGTGTCTGCGGGATGACTGGTTCGATGGCAGGAATGACCCTGACAGCACTGAACTGTGCCGGGTCTGAGGTACAAGGCCTGGGTGGCAGAGCATGGTGCCTGGCACAATGAAAAGATCAGCAGAAATAAAAAAAAAAATGGATGTGGGGCCACAGGGCTCCGTGTTAGCAGGCTGCTCGTGGGCTCTGTGGTCACTTGGAGAACCCTGGGGTTCTGTGCACCATTCCAGGGCTCGAAGGGAAACGGATGTTTCTACAGGTCCAAGGCTCACGCGACGCTGCAAAGCCTGCAGGCTTTGGCCCTTGAGACAAGAGAGGGCAGGCAGTTCTGCACAGAATGGGAGGGGCAGACTAACCCAGCAGCTCTTCCACAGAGGACCCCGTCTGTCCCAGAAAGACAGCCCTCATAGGAAGTGCACCAGCAAGAGGGAAAAGCTCAGGTCTTAAATCTTTGAAGGACCAAATCACATTCCTACTTAGAAAATTAAAATCCAGGCAGTAACTCAGATGGACCAACAAACAGAGCTATGACCGTCGCTCACCATCAAATACCTCCGTGTCCACACCTGACGCTGTTAAAAATTCAGCATTTAATGCGGTTAACTCACACCCTGCCCCCTGAGACCCCAGTTCATGTGATCAGGGTGTAGCCCATTTTAACAAGCTCCCCGAGGGCTACTGAGGCAGATGGTCTGGGGACCACACAGTCATTTGTCATTCCCAGAGAAGAAGCAGAATCAAGAGCCGTTCTGAGCTGCCGCATAAACTTCACAAACACTGCTGGGGGAAAACGCAGCCTGGAACCAAAACAGCACCCACTGGAGCCCGGATTTAGCAGTTGTTCCCCTGGAGCAGATCAGGGGAGTCAGCAGTCGGCGGGAAGCGCTGTTACATAAGCCGCTGTCTGCATGCAGGACCTCAACTCCCCAAGGGAGTTAACACACATGAAAGCAATAGCCCACCCCAGAGCACACACCGTGTGCCAGGGCAGCAGGCAGCGCAGAGCCGCCTCTGGTGCCACAGACCCCGTGCCCCCTGGGCCACTGGGAACCAGATCCCTGGGCCAGGTCCAGGAAGGTGGGGTTAGGCAAGGGGTTAGGAGGAGGTCATTCAGGGCTCCACCTAGGCATGGACATTGCCTTCATCAAAGCTTCCCTCTGGATGAAAATCTAAGTGGAGCCATGGTTTGTTTCAATACACCTCTAACTCTTTGATAGAAAGTTCTAGAACCACAGCACCACCTTTATTATGAGTCTTGTCCAAGAACAACTAACTGCTCTTTGAATCTACCCTTCCATCTCTAGCAAGGATTCCCAGAGTTTACCTCTCCCCAGTCCCCCAAGACCTGGATAAAAAGGCAGTTCTAACTAGAGTGTTAAAGGCTGACAGCGGCTGGGACGTTAATTGTGCCAATGGCCACAGATGACATTAATATGGGTGTAGTAAAGGCAGACCAAATGTGTGATATACATGTCACTCCTCCCGTGGGGTTAGCCTCAGGTGCCTTCTCAACATGGAACCACAGGCAGCCACTCCAACCTACTGAAGAGTAGGGTGTAAGTTTCAGAGAGAGAAGTCCGTACCTACCTTTCTATTATGCTATGCCAGTACTGAGCACAGTGACTAATACTGAGGAAGTGTTCAAAAATCAGTATTAAATCAAATTAAATTAATACCTGAAGTGAAACTTCCTTGCCACCCAATTTTGCCACAAAGCATGTCTCAGAATTCAACAGTCAGTGGGCACCTATTAAAAGTCCACCTCACGGGGCACAGTGGCGCATGCCTATAATCCCAGTGGCTGGGGAAGCTGAGGCAGGAGGATCGTAAGTTCAAAGCCAGCCTCAGCAAAAGCAGGCACTAATAAAATACAAAATAGGGCCGGGGATGTGGCTCAGTGGTCGAGTGCCCCTGAGTTCAATTCCCGGTACCCCCCACCAAAAGTCCATCTCATCTCCCAGGCTCCATCCCAGACTCGTCCTCAGGCACTCTGCGATCTGTGTTTCTCATAGCTGCCAGGCCATCTAACATACATGGAATCTGAGACCGTGGTCTCGACCACTTGGGAGGATCTCATGGGCATCAGCACCACGGGATGTAGTAAGTAAAAGGCCCTTTCAGAGTAGCCGAAACAGAACACAGAGGAGGTGGGGAGCTTCCTCTTCTCCACCAGGCTTGGGCCCATGGGGTGGAGAACCCAAGAGACCAGGGATGAGGGAGGTCTCACACAGCATTCTGAGTTAGCCAGGCTCCCGTGGGTCTCACCAGGCCAGGCTCTGCCTTGTTCTCCTGGTCACGGATACCCTGCCCATTGTCAGATCATGGGCCAGGTCAGCATCAGTGAGACCCAAGGGTGGAGAATAAATGGCTAGTGGCTCCACCCACTTTGGGAGAGTGGCAGAGGACGAGAAGCCACCTTCTGCTCTCCCTCACACCGTACTCTGGCAGCTGGTCAGCAAACTGCCCTCCCTCAGCCTTCTCCCTACTCTTGGGGCAGCTGTGTTCTGCGCAGGCCGGGGGCTGCCAAGAGCCAGGGTGCTGGGGATCCTGCCCAGCTCCTGCGCCTGCACCCGCAGAGCCTTGGAAACTCCCCTGGCCACCCTTCCTGCAACAGGGAGCTCCGACTGCTGGCAGCTGTCATGGGGAACATCAAACATGGGTGTTTATGCCAAGCCTCATTTACACAAGCCCACTTCTCCCCAAGAGATGAATGTTTAAAACAAACAGCTCTTACATATGTTAGCAGGCACAGTCACATCAGCATGAGGGATCCCCAAGCGGAAATATGAGTCAGTCTGGGACAAAGTCAGCTAAATAAATCCTGTTTGGGTGAAATTTCTCTCTCTGGACAAAGATGAACCTCAAAGCGATCGCTCCGATTCCCCAACGAGACTCCCTGAACAGCACGCTCTTTGCAGCACAGCCCGCTGCTGCAAACCCTCCAACTCCAGTCACATCACTGCCCTGACAGGCATCTGCCTTGCCGTCCCCTCCAGCAGTGCCACCTGCATCTTGGCATCCCTGTTACCACTCTGGTTCCACCCAGGGCATCTGATGGCCCTGCTCTGATGGGCACAGACTGGCCATGACACACAGAATCTCCTGCCGTCCCAAGGCCTAGGGCTTTGACAGCCAAGGAGAAAATGGCCAGCAGGCAGACAAGGTGTCTGAGGGGTGAGGGTGTGGGCATAACGGCTTCCCAGAAAAACGCAGGCCACTAAGGACTCGGTCAAGGAGCAATCTGACTAGTAAGGAAATGTCAGGTTTGGGAGACTGAATTCCCCGGCCATTGCCTTCTTTTTCTTTAATTTTGCCTTTGACGGAGCAGAAGGGAGCAATTCCTAACCCAACCTAGTGTTGCTCCGGGATGGAGCAATAAGGTGCCAGCCAGCGCAACCAGCACAGGGCCTCAGGGCAGCATGTGGGGCCTGCTATGGTCTGCACGCTGTGGCCCCCACTCACATGCTGAAACCTAACCCCAGTGCAACAGCATCCAGAAGGGGGCCTTAAGAGGTGAGCGCCATCTCCACCAGCGCCCCAATCTCAGACTTCCCAGGCTCTAGAACTTTGGAACAGATTTCTATTGTTTATAAATTTTCCTGAATGGCTAGGACCCAGCATAGAAATGAGACTAATCACCTACCTAATAACACCGAGAGGAAGAAGTTCCAGGTGACACACTGGCTTGGTGAACTCCACATTCAAATGGGTCTAAGAAAGAAGAGCAGCCCCAGCCCAGGCCCCTCCCGGGCTACACTGCCAGGCCCTGGTGAGGCTGCAAGCATGGTCTCTGCCTGGGGCCAGACCTCTGGGGACACAAGACCTGGGTCCTGGGGTGTGGGGACTCTGCACTGCAGGCAGGGACACGGATGTAGATGTTGCCCTGCAGCACAGTCGGGAATTAACAGTTCATTCCAAGCCTCAGCAGAGCCACAGCCAGGCCTGGCCTCCCCAGCGTAAAGCTGTCTGTCGCCAGGTGGGCAGGCAGCCACGTCTGTGGGGCCCCAGTGAGAGGAGGGAGAAGCACAGTGGCCAAGAGTCAAGGATGGGCTCTTGGTGTTTCCCTAGGCTGCAGTGAAACCCAAGCAAAACCCTCCACCCAGGCGGGCGCCGAACCCAAGAGAAAGTAAAGCACCCACCGAGCCCGTTCTCCACCAGCACGGAGTGGGTCCCGTCGCAGTCCACAGCGTCCTGCTCTCCAACCGGGTCATCCAAATCCACATCAGGCTGAAGGGACCCGTTCCCAAAGTGCCTCTCGTCCTTCTCGGAGCCGCCGTCCCCGTCCCCATTCTCCAGGCCGTTCTGAGCCTTCTTCAGGGGCATGATTTGCAAGCCACTAGGGGTAGTCCGGTAGGACACGGTCTTGGCGGCCCTATCGCCCCCCGGCCCGGGGGACTTGCCTGCGCACCCTTTCTTGGGCTTGGCCAGCGGAGGGTTGATGCGCTTCCGCTTGTGCGAGGCCGCCTTGCTCTTGCCGGGCTCCGCGGGCCGCGGGGCCAGCTTGTCGCCAGGGCCGCGGCTGTCGCGCAGGAGCTTGCCGGCGCCCGGCTGCTTCCCGGCCTTGGCGCGCTTGTCCCGGGGCACGGGCAGCCCGTTGAACTCGTCGATGAACTCCTCGCAGTGCAGCAGGTGGTGCTCGGGCTCCCAGGTGTCCTCGGCGCTGCCATAGCCTTTCCATCGGATGAGGTACTCCCACTTGCCCTTCTTGTTCTTCCTCTTGTCCACGATCCTTTCCACCTGGCACAGAGAGTGGAGAAAGAGAGAAGAGGGTCAGTGGCCGGACCAGGCCGCCCTGGCAGAGGTCACAGGCCTCTGGTGTGAGCAGGAAGGCAGGCTGACCTCAGGAGGTCACCGGGAAATCCCAGACACCCAGGTCACTCCCCAGCGTGGCTCAGGAAGCCGCCAGGCTGGGGCATCTGCACCCGCCCTTGGTGGCACCCGCCCTTGGTGGAACCCGCCCTGTAGAATCGCTTGAGAGATTTTTGTTCTTTTCGGCACAGCAAGTGGACTCGGGCTTTTAAAGACCAATTTGGAGTGGGTGTGTCATCCTTACTTACACTAATAACATTTATTAAGCAATCATACAGACAGTATATGCTAATTTACTTATAATTATATTGACAATCAGTGGCATTTACTGGACACTCTGAGGTGGACACTGTCCCAGGGCTTGGAGTCCACTCTCCCTTCTCATTTCCCCAGGGAAGCAACACAATGAGGTGATCCCCCATGTTGCACTGAGGGCCCACAGAAATCATGCAACTGAACCAAGTTTCAAAGCTGGCAGGGGCAGAGCAAGGTTCTGAGGCTGTCACCCCAGACCTACTCTCCAGTCACTAGGCTAGACCAACTCTGTCAACAGCAAGAGGCCTCTGCACTGACCAACAGGGATTTGGGTTGACAATACCAGCTGTCCCCATACAGCCCCCCATCTGGCTGCAACACGGGGCACAGCTAGGAGGCAGAGATGGGTGACATCTGCTGAGAGCCTACAGTGTGCCTGGTAACCCCAGGGCATACACTATTGTTCCCACTGGACAGATGAGGAAACTGAGGCAACCTGCCTGGGATGCACAGCCGCCTTCGAGGCACAATGGTGATGTGGTGGAGGGGGTTCTAAGCCACATGGGACAATCTACAAGTCTTCAAAGAACCTCTTCTGCCATCCCACGGACGAATACTTCAAGGGAAAGGCCAGTCTAATGCCATAGCTGATACAGCCCTGCATAGGGTATCTGAGAGCTCATTTACTATTCTTTCAACCTGCTACAGATTTGGAACTTTTTAAATTAAAAAAAAAATGTGGAAAACTCCCCATGTTCTAACCCCCAAATGCTAAATTTATATGAGAAAGCAAATAATCATATTCAATAGTGTATTTCAATGTCCATATAATATACCTTTAAAGAATGGAATTTTGATGCAATTAAGTAACAAGTAAGGAAAAGGCCCTTGAAACTCAGGAAAAGAAAATATCACAGAGGGAGCGGTTCAGCAATGTTGTGGTTGGTGGAGGCGAGTAGTAGGTGCACAGGGGTCATGATGTGACTGTCTGTTTGCACGTTGGGAATTGCCATGAAGTGGCCTTGCCTCACCAGTGGTTTCTGTACAGCACAGGCTATGCAGAATAATTAAAAAGCTTTTACTGTTTTGCACTTAATAAATATGGAAACAGCGAGGCCGAGCTTCCTCTCCCCAGCACTGCCTCTCACGACTGTAATTGTTTCCTTAATTGATTTATCTCCACTTAAATTGGCCTATATCTATAAAAGTTTCTCTCCTTGTAAAATGCTCTGTTAGCATCTGTTTTAGATTTATTGCACAATTTTTAGATGTAACACATGAACTCTATAACAGTTTTTAAAAGTAAAATCATGCCCAATTCATTCAACTTCCAACCTGCGGGTCAAGGAATGGAGTCGGTTGAGTATTTCTTTGTAATAATGCTTCAGAAAGCTCAGAGTGTTTCTGGAAGAATTTGCAGTTTTGCTTATTTTGAGAACACTGTAAGGGGGAGACCCTCTGCGGCTTGACAGAGGAGGAAAGTGAATCATGAGCCTGGCCTGCCTGTGACAGCAGCATTTCCAAGGCCACTGCAGTGTCGAGAGCAAGCACAGGTATTTCTTGGGAGCTAAAGAATGTCCTGGCATGGAGATCTCCAGCTCTTGAAAGCATGTGCACAGCTCCTGAGGTGGAAGACTTCCTTTCCCAGATGAAGCAGAGGACCAAGTCAGACAAACAGCCACCCAAATGGGTAGAGTGCTGGGTGGGTGAGGGGTGTGGGGGGGTGAATGATGGATGGGCGGGCAGACGGATGGATGGATGAATGAAGAGATGGGTGGACAGTGGGATGAAAAGGTGGCTAGGTGGATGATGGATGGATGGATGGATAATGGGCTCAAAAGTGGGTAGATAGGTGGGTTCATGAATGGATGGGTAGATGAATGGATGGTAGTCACTTACCAAAGTGAGCTTAGTGTATTGAAGAACACAGGCTCTGGAGCAAGACTATCTGGTTAAATTCCCTGTTAAGCCTTATCATGTGTTCTTCAGCAAGTCTCAAACCTTTTGGGGCCTCAGATGACTCATACCAGGAGGAGGAAGTAACACGCCTACTTCACAGGGTGGTTGTGGAGAACAGACAAATACGCGCTTTCACATTCCACGGTAAAGGTCACTTAATCTTGAACAGCCTCTGTGACCACAACCTTGGTGTCCTCTAAAGACAGAAAGCTTCCCCTCCCTGCAAACATGACTTCTTCCCACAATCAACTCCTCCTGGGGAGGAGAGAGTCCACCCACTTGGATATGTCCTTTGAGTGTAGAAGATGGCTATGCACAGCCGGGGTCAGCAAGGGTCTGAAGGGCTTTCTGTGGCCACACTGAGGGGGAACTTACTTTTGTTCCCTACAAATTACGGGAAATTTCACTTTATCCAGTGTCTGTCCACACAGCACTCTGTGTGGTGCAAGAAACCACTCCACCCAGTGTCCCTCATACACACTCCACTAGGTGTCCAGACACCACTCCATCCAAAAAACCAACCTCCAACCAACCAAAGTCATTTTCAGTTTTGGAAAACCAATCACTTTTTCTGAAAAACCAAAAAGCCCACAAGAAACTCCAAATACAGCTGGCCCCAGACATTCCACCATACTTGTGTGTGTGTGTGTGCGCGCACGCAGTACTGGGGACTGAACCCAGAGCCTCACATATGATAGGCAAATGCGCTACACTGAGCTCCATTCCGAGCCCTCCTCCATAGTCTTTGATCCCTGGCCTCTGGGGACCCAATCTCCTTTATGTCCCTGTGTTAATTTTCTGACCTCTTTGCCTCTCGCCGGGAGTGCCTCCTGTAGAACCTGCATTGTAATTTGCCCTGTTGGTAACAAAGGCCTGAGCCACAAGGACTGGACCCTGCCCGGGAGGTCCTTTCCTCCTGTGAAGCCCCCCCGACCCCCTCCCGTCCCCTAACTCTGCCCACTGCAGAAAGCAGAGACGTGGCCCCCGGCCCTGGAAGCTCTCAACTGACATCTATTCTTCTGTGATCCCACTAAACTGAGACTCTGTTCTGCAGGTGGGAGCAGGGAGATTCTGATAAAGTCATTACCAGTGCCACAGTGACGGTGAGTGGCCGTCTCCTTAGGAATAGTGACAATGACAATCACATTGTAGGGTATATGCCCAAGGCCCAGGAACCACGTTAATTACTTTCATGGTGTCAGCTTTCATCTTTGTGCCCAGGCTTTAGCTGGGCATTATAACCATTTGACAAGCGAGGAAACTGGGGCTCAGAGAAAGTAGGTAACTTTCCCTCAATTACACAGCTACTAGTTGGTTAAAAAGGATCTGAACCCAAGTTGGTCTGACTCCAGCATTCCAGTTCCTACACATCCAGCCACGCCTCGCCTGTGGGAAGCCATCAAAACCAGGTAGGGCCCGGCAACACACAGCAACAGGCCTTGAAGAAGGAAATGCCTTACACGGCTCAGGAAGCTGAGGCAGGAGGATCGCAAGTTCAAAGCCAACCTCAGCAACTTAACGAGGCCCTAAGTAACTTAGTGAGACCCTGTCTCAAAATAAAACATAAAAAGGGCTGGGAATGTGGCTCAGTGGTTAAGTGCCCCTGGGTTCAATCCCTTTTACCAAGAAAAAAAAATCAACAAGCCTTTAATGGCTTCAATACCCAAGATGCAAGGCGCTGCTGAGGGCAGCGAGGACCCACACAGACCAGCAGGGCTTGGGCAGCCCAGTGGGGTGCACAGCCCTCGAAAGACTGGACACAGAGCAAGATGTAGTGTTGGGCCCAGAAAGAGCTCTGGTGGGAAAGAGAACAGGGTTAGAAGGAACAGTGGCAGAGAAGACATGGCGTCCTCAGAGGGGACGGTCAGGAAGGCTCCTCTGAGAGCAGTTCAAACTGAGATCAAGTCGGATGCTTAGAGATGGAGAGAACCTGACCCCTGAGATTGGCAGACTGTGGGCGTGGACATCTCCCTTTATTTTTGTTGACCTTGCTTTGCTCTCAGAGGTCACTCGCCTCCTCCTCAGCCTTCCATTTTCTTTTTTCACAGAGGATGCACTGAGGCACCCCAAGGTTAAGGACCTTGGCCAGGCTTCCACCTCCGATAAGCATCACAGAGTTAAGAGCGGAACCACACTTTGGCTCCAAAGCCCACACTGTGGCCACACTCCACACATGGCCACCGGCCCCACCTGACTGAGGCCAACGGCGGATCTGCAGCTTCTGAGTCTTCCCCTCAACTCCTGCCTAGTTCGCCAGATACCTGTGACACCTTTACCCATCCTGGGATTAGCCTTCCGAGCCTGACCCCCCAGAGGTCCCCAGCATGCCAGTGGGCGTCCCTCCCTCGTCACCAGTCATCTTCCCTTTCCCAGCTCCCCAGGACTGGACCCAGGACAGTGCATGACGTTCCCCTAGCTCTAGGACACAGATCTCCCGGACTCGGAGGGAGCCTCGCCCACAGACGGGCTTGGCTTGGAGTTCCTGGTACACATCTTGGTCTCTGAGAGCAAAGCAAGGTCAACAAAAATAAAGGAAGATGTCCACGCCCACAGTCTGCCAGACGCACCCCAGAGTGGCCATCATCCCTGGACAACAGCAGCTCATGTCTCTGACTCCAGACCTCAACGGCCACATCCACGAGAATCTTGCCTTCTGGATCCTTTCAACATCCTGGGACAACTTCCTCGGGGAGCAAGCACACAGGCACCCATCATTGTCG